CCCCCCACGGAGCTAGAAAGGGTTAATAGGCCCTTCCCTCAAACACTCCTAGGGTCACGGGGAGGGTAGCTGCAGGCCAAGCCCCCAGAAAGAGGGGAAAGGTTCCAGAGAGCCTCTGCTAGGCCAAGGACCCTGCTTCGCTGGCATTAGCCACCGTAGCCTTCACTCAGGCTTGGTGTCCTGCCCTTCCTGAGGGCCTTGTGCTCCAGTGGTTTCTCGCGCTGGATCTGGAGGTGGGGATCAGGAGCCATCCGGGAGAGTCTGCATTCTTTGCCACTGTATTACTGGAACGATGCTTGATATACAGTGGGCCTCAGTAGATATTTGAGAGGGGAGGGGGGGAGCTGGGTAGAAGGGAGGGAGAGGAGGGAGAGAATCTGCATCTGGGAGGCCAAGTGGATTCCCTCTGTCTGGCTAAGGATGAGGCTACTGCTTGTAGGCAGACTTCTGGTCAGGTATCAGGCCCCCTTGTGGGAAGCTTAGGTGCGCATGGCGGTGATGGGGTGTGCAGGGAAGAGATTTGCACTGGAGCCTGCAGGTAGTGGGAAGAGACTAGCAAGAAGAGTTGACATGCCTCTTTCAGGCAGAACATTTTGCCTGTGTGTTCCTGCACCTGCTTCTTTGTGATTAGAGGCTTTGCCTAGGGCGTCTGATTCCCAGAAAGGGAAGAGGGTGGTGGAGGCCTTGACTCACAAGACTTCTCTTCCCTCTAGGACCCCTGAGCTCACAAGGTGCTGAAGAAGTGAGCCCTCTGTCCACCCAGGCGGCTGAGCCAGGTGGGGCCATGGCAGGCCGCTGCTGCCTGGATCTGGGGCTGTTCTGCTGGGTCCTGCTTGCTGTACCTGTGGGTCCGCAGCCTGCTTCCTCTGTACCAGGTCCCCCTCTTACTACTCTGACCCCACCACCTCAGAGTGAGGCCTCTATGCTATCTCTCAACCTGGGACTAAACTTCAAATTCCATCTCCGGGGACCTGCTGCTGTCTGGGGAAGCCCTGTTACCGAGACCCATCCTCTCTCTCCTGGACTAGGCCAGGAGTCTGAGGAAGAGGAGGAAGGCGATCTGAGGACTGATCCCCTTTGGGAACTGCTGGTGGGGTCCCCTGGGAACTACCTCCCAGAATGGGGCTCTGCGGAAGGCAGCTTTACACCCTGGACTTCCTCCTTGCCTCCTGAGTCCACATCCCCCCTCTCAGGGCCCGCCAAGCGGCCCACTGTTCCCTTTCAACCTAGGATGGGCACTGTGACCTGGGCCACTGCTCTGACAGGGACAGCGCCTCCAACCAGTGCTCCCAGGCCTCATCAGAGTGAGCTTGAGGTAAAGTTTGATGTAGCTTTGAGAGCAGGTGCTGCCCCCACTCTTGGTCATCGGTCACTACCCCTGCTGCCCAGCCTGCGGGCCAGCCTGGCAGAGATTGCTGGGCGCCTGGGACCTTTCGGTAAGTAGCCACCCCATTTGATGTGACTCTCGGCTAGGCATCAGTTGATGAGTATACACTGTCCACTAGGAGACAGGAGGCAACTTCAGCCCAGACTCCTTTTGCAGGGTTCTTTGGTACTACTGTGTCCCCACTCCGGAACTCCTCAAGCCAGAGTTACCCGGGCACAACGACACATCCAAGTTTTGCTTCTGAAGTGTCAGATTCTCCTGGTGAGTGCTGGCTTTATTGTAACAAACATCTGCATGGCATCAGCTGAACTAGTGGTCTGTGGTCTGACCATCATCACCTTCCTTGGCCTGAGGAATATCTGCATTGGTTTTTCTAGACTCCAAGACGAGGGCTAATGTCCCTTGGGTGGGAAGCAGTCTCTTTGGTGTATTGACTCTGATTTGGTGCCTGTTCATGGGGTACATGTGGCTGTTCCTGGGGCAACGATTTTCTTAAGACAAGCTCCGAGGAAGGATAAGATTCTCTCCAAAGTCTCAAAAGCCACTGCCAGCGGATAGGATGACATTTGAGCCCCATATGCGTCTTTTACAGGGCTCTTTGGTACCACTGGGTCATTTTCCCCACCTCTCCTGGAAAGGGAGTTGTCAAGCCCAAGCCTGTTGGATTCAGTGGCTTCCGCGAGCTCTGCCCCAATCGAGACAACACCAGTGCTACATGGTAAGCATGCAAGTTATCTGTATTTGACACACGGCATGGCAGACGCTCAGCAGTGTCCTGGGACCTTTCTAGGTCACTGCCCTCATAACCATACCTAACCTCTCCCTTCATCGTGATCATGGAGAAATTATACATTAATGATCTAACAGGTGCCGTCTGGGAAGGTACTACATGGAGTTAGGGAAGTGTTCTCTGAGGTGTCTGCTGCTATAGGCAGAGTAGGACAGAAGGGTAAGTCCGAGTCAACTAGCACAGGGGCTACCTCATGCTTTCCGCAGCATCTCTCCTTCCCCCTCCATCCTGGGTGCCTGGTCTCCCTTCCTACCTCCACTCCACCCAGCCTTGGAGTTTTCTCCTCTGCTGTTTGATCTGTCGTGACATGCTGTCAGACCTGGACAAAGCTGAGCCCTTCACAGAGAAGACATTAGAGAGGACCATGAACAGACAGACAGACGTCACCTTTGTTCTAAGGAGCCTCTCAGAGGATGCTCCTAGACAGGTCGATGGTGCCAAGGAAACATTTGACCTCTTTGAGCCTAAATCTTCTTACTTACATAGGGTCTGATAATAGCAGACTTTGTGTGTGTGTATGTGTGTGTGTAACTCTAATGTCTCCAGGTAGTGTAAACCCTTGCTGGATACCAAGTAGAAACTCATTAAACAGTAGCTCCTTAGCTTTGCCTTTTACTCACACTACACCCAAATACACTTTCAGACTCAGCCTTGCAGATACCCTGGCCTTGGCCCCACCCACTGATGGGACACTTCCAGCCCAGCTTTGTTCTACTAAACACTTCCTGTGTCTGTGAAACATCTAAGCCACCCTGTACTAAGCTCGGCCATGGATGCTCTGGCTTCTTCCAGCCCCAACCCTGACAATTATGGCGTTCTTCAGCCATCAGCATCGTGCTCCCTCTGTGGTGTGCAAGCGATGGCCACTGCACGATTAGTGTGCAGCAGCGGCAGGACTCGCTGTGGGGGGGGGGGGGCAGCTCTGTGCCTCAGGGGATAGATGCTGGCTGGCATTCTGTCAGCCTGGGTGACAGTGCTGGCCAGGCAGGTTTAATGAGTCTGGACAGTATCAGAGGCAGCCCAGCCTCACAACCCCCCTCTCCCCATCTCCGCCTCACTGGTGGTTGTAGGAGCCGGGTCTCTTCTTGCTACTCCTCTTGCATAAACTCAGAAACCTGGGTTAACCCTTGCTCATGAGAAAAAGAGAGAAAAAGAGAGAAAGGGGGGGGGGGGGATCAAACTTGTAACAAATATATTCTGTTTTGTTTTGTTTTGTTTTAAGATAAGATCTTATATAGCTCAGGCCTGCCTCAAACTAGCTTTGCAGTTGAGGCTGGCTTTGAACTCTTGATCCTCCTGCTTCTACCTCACAAGTGCTGGTATTTCAGGTGTGTTTTTACCATACCAAGGATTCTAGGATATTTCTAACTCGTGTCACCTACATTGTGTCATGATATAGGGCTCTTTTGCTCTGGATTCCCTTTTCCTGGACCATAGCTTGTATTCACACATTGAAATTTTATAATGGGCTCTCCCATATCCAAGGACTTCAGGCCCACTGGTAAGTCCTCGTTGTTGTCCCTCTGCTCCCTGACCATACTGGCAAGTCTGGGCTATGAATGGCCAATTCATCTGGGCGATGCAGTTGTTAAATATTTCCAATGTTACTGCTGCAGAGTATCAGCCCTCCACAGTGCTGGAGTTGGGGGTAGGGAGACACATGCAGCCAAACCATTAAATGGGCTGCAGCTTCCAGCATCCAGAGTTGATTCCTCAGCCCTTTGATCTGGGCAACTGGTGGATAATCAGACCTGGCTTCTCCTTTCCCATCCCCCTCCTCAGCCAGCCCTGCCTCGACAATTACTCATGTTGACATCCCATCTTTTCTCTCACTCCCAAGGTCAAGGGCCACAAGGACAGGGTGAAACCTCTCTGAAGGAGTGGCCTGATCAGGATCCATCTCCTGAGGATATAGGGAATACGGGACCACTGTCTTTTAGGGAAAAATCAAGGCATTTTCTGAGGAGCTACAAATGGAGAGACAAGAGATGAGGACAAGTGGTGCCTTCAGAGGCAGAATCTAGGCTGCCTCCTACCTGCCTCCATCCACACTTGGCCCAGTGAGCCTCTCTGGACAAACTCTAGTCCTTAGGAACACTGTTCCAAACTGAGAAGTCCATCTCTGATGCTTGTGGTGCCTCTTGTGCTTTGCCTATGTTCTCTCCTGGATTTTATAATTGCCGAAGTTTGCTCTATAGGCTATTATGCGTGGGGACAGAGATGAGAAATGGGGTTTCATATGGCCCCTAAGTAAGAAGTGGGCATGGTCTCTGAGAGCATGTGTCTGTATGGTAAGCACAGAGGAGAGGCTGAGGAATCACAGGTGGGGACGGACATGGGCCAAAGGAAACCAAGGTAATCCAGGAACTTAGTAGCAGTAGGTTAGACCAGGGTGTCAAAGGGGGCAGGAAAATGAGGAGAAGAGTGTTAGCTTGATGCATTGACACCAGACTGGCGCCTCCTCTGACCAGCAGGCTACCTGTTTCCAGCTGGATGGCCACTGGGAAGAGGGTAGCATAGCACTAGGTCATTGTCCTTCAAACAGCTCAGACTGAGACAATAGATTGATATTCACTCAGTAGACTCATTGTTGTCTTTCTAAACAAGTTTAAGATGTGCTAAGGGCTCTCCACACAGATCTTAGACTTACGTTGTTAAACCAAGCACTAATCTATGGGGCCAGAGACAAGACTCAGTGGTTAAAAGCACACACTGCTCTTATAAAGGAGCCTGGTTGATTCCCAGCACCCATACTGGATAGCTCACAACTGTCCATAACTCCAGCTCCAAGGAGTGCAACACTCTCTTCTGGCCTTTGTGGACACATGCATTCACCTGTAAATACCCAACACCCATAATTACCAATAAAATAGATTTTTATAAAAGGACTTATTTGAGGTCAGAGCTGATCACACACAAACAAGATGATTGATCCCAGATAAACATTTAGCCAGCTATGATAGTGGCCAGGATTATATACTGAATGATTTTTTTTTCCACACCAGAAACATACCTCATTTATCTTCATGACTGTTCTGGGTAGTAGATATTCGTACTCAGTTCAGATTTGAGGAACGTAATGTAATGGGAACCAAAGTGCATGCTGCCACTCGGAGCTGGCAGGAAGCTCTGCGCATTTCAGTTTCTGATTGCTACCTCCATGCCTTTTCTAATTGTCCAATTCTAGCCGGGCGGTGGTGGCGCACGCCTTTAATCCCACCACTTGGGAGGCAGAGGCAGGTGGATTTCTGAGTTCGAGGCCAGCCTGGTCTACAGAGTGAGTTCCAGGTCAGCCAGGGCTACACAGAGAAACCCTGTCTCGAAGGAAAAAAAATGTAATTGTCCAATTCTTCCCTTCTGTCTCTTGAGCTGCCTGGGACTTCACTACGGTTTCTTCTGTTAGGTTTTTTTGCTGTCTCCAGCATGAGGGGAAACCGCCTGGGGTGGGTGTTCCTCTATTATCCAGCCAGGGAGTAGCTGGGGCATGGGTAGGCAATTGGAGCAAGAGTGTAATCATCAGAAGTCCTTACTCCTCAGCACAGTCCTGTCTCCTGTCCTCCCCATCTCCGGGTGGCCATCTCTATCCTTCATTATCATCTTTTCTTCTCCTCTTCCTCCTCCTCCTCCTCTTCCTTCTCTCCCTCCTCCTCCTCCTTCTTCTTTTTCCCTGCAGCTGTAGTCCTGCTGAAACTTCGAGGTGCAGAAAGAGATCAACTTCTAGCATATTCCTTTCTGTTTGGCCATAGGAGGGTCTTGAGTCTAACCTTTTCAGAGCACCTCTTGCTCCAGGAGAGCAAAACCAAGGGTCGTAATCCCTCCCAGTCTTCACTGACTTCCTTTTCCACAAGAGATGTGAGAGATGTTGGGGCACACGGGATGGGGCCAGAGCCACCGTTAGTGGACCCCAGCACACCTGAGGGGTTCACTTATCTTGGTAGCATGTCGCTCTATGATTCCCCCTAATTGTTCCTTTGGGTAAGGGAGTTCAAGGCCACTCTCTGAGACCCATCCCAATACTATTTTCTGTAAAATGGGAGTGAGGAAAAGGGACACCTATCTCAAGAGTCTTATACGAGAGGGTGTGGATGTGGTGCCGTGGTAGGTCTTGGGGGTCAGGGGAGAGAGTATTTGGTTTGAGCCTGGCTTAATAGGTTATGTCTATAGTGCTAGCACCTAGGAAGTGGAGACACAGTGTTGGTTGTGAGTGAAGAGGACAATTTGGACTACACAATGAGTTGGCAGGCAGCCTGGACTACAAAGTGAGACCCTGTCTCATAAAACCAACACATAAACATCAAAAGAAAAGCCCTAGACTAACGGTCTTGTGGATGAGTCAGGATGGTGGAGCTTCTGCCAATCATTGGTTGAGCATTGGGGTGTACCTTGTAGGAAGGACACTTAATAAAATGTGTTCTTTGTAGAATGCTCGGGCAGGGGACTCTTACCTCTTTTCCTGCTCTGTGTGTGCATGCATATGTTCATGGGTGTTCTGTCCATAAGGACAAGGAGGGTATCAAAAAGGGACAGGCGTACGTGTGTGCATGCATGTGTGTTGGGAGGAGAGAAGCATATTAGTACTTGTGACAGGTTATTGTGGGAAAGGGATGCAGATTGGCGCACAGATCTGAGTCCTAGTCTATGACCTTGGCCAAGTTCTTCTGCAGCACCTCAGTTTCTTCTTCTGGTATAAAGAGGGTTTCATTTATTCGGTGAAAACTACTCAGCATCTCCTACATGCATATTTAAGCATCGAGTTTCATAATCTGTGCAAGGGAAACAAAAACTTTATTCTCATATAACATCTTTTCTGGCGTGGGATTTGGACTGGAGGGGGCATCCACACACTTCTTTCCAGTTGTAAGGTCCTGTAACTTCTTAAGAAAACATCTCCTCCAACCTGATAAAAATCAGGGAATGATTGAGGGTGTGTGTGGAATGAGCAGTGGACAGATGGCAGGAGAGCGGTCGCTGAAAGCTTCAGCCTGGAAGATGGGGTTCTGGGAGGAGAAGGGGAAAGAAGAAAAACCAGCTCATAGAAGAAATTCAGATTTCTAGCTGAGGGCTGGGTGAGGGGCCTGCTAACGGCTCCAGCTGAACGTTTTCTGTCCACAGACCCCACCATCTCCACTTCTGGTCCAGACGAACTCTCTCCTGCCAGCTTCAGGAATCCTTCAGCACAGCCTGGATGTGAGCCAGGCTCTTGTAGTGAGCCAGCGTTGCCCGACGACTTGGGGCAGCCGCCTGCCTCCCCGCTGCCTCTCTTCTTCCTGACCCTGGAGGCCGACTGGGCAGAGGCTAGGGCTCGCTGGGGCCTAGCCTGGGAGGCCCATGTATATGGAGCAGGAGCACTCTTCGGCCTGGTGGCTCTGCTGGCTCTGTTGGCTTTGGCCCTCTTGCCCTGGCGATGTCCGCCCGGCGCCCCCTGCCTGGCGTTGCTGGATCTGCTGCTGCTCTCGGCGGGGACCACTCGGGCCTTCCCGCTCTTCTACGACGCCTACGGGCATCGCGATCGGCTGCCGACCCTCGCTTGGCTGCTGCTGCAGGACCTTCCGCTGCCCTGCCTAGCCGCAGGTCTGGGGCTGGCTTGCTTGTTGCTGGCCCGACCGCGCACTCCGAGGTGCCCCGCCGGCTTGGCGGCGCTGCTGCTGCTGGGGCTGGCGCTGGCGGCGGCGGCCGCCCTGGGGAGCGCGGTGCACCGCCCGCTGCGGCCGCTGCGGCTCGCCTCCCGCGGGCTGCATGCCTTCCTCGCTGCCTTCCTGTCGGGGCTCCTGCTGGCGCTCTCTTGTTGGGGCGGCCGGCGGCGGAGGGCCGGAGCACCCTTGGGAGGGTCTGGCTTTAAGGGTGCTACTCCTGTCCCGCAAGTGCGCAGCCCCTTCGCCCCGCGGGAATCCTGGAGGCGAGCGGCGCGCACAGCCCCGGTGGCCGGGACCTTTGGGTTGCTGAGCGGAGCCCTGCAGGGCTACGAGGTGCTTCACGCTCTGGGCTACGGCGGCCAAGCAGGCTTGGAGGGGCCCTGGCCCTGGTGGGCTTTCCAGCTAGGTCTGCGTCTGGGCGAGGTGGGAGTCGCGCTCCCGTTAGCGCTGCTTGGCCTCTACCCCGCGCTCTGCAGCCCTCGTGTGCCGCGGCGCTGCTGGGCCAAGCTCTTCCGATTGTCTCCGGGACACGCTGCCCCGCTGCTGCCAGGAGGCTGGGTCCCCGGGATCCGGGACAAGGAGCCCCTGGGTAGCGCGATCGCTCGTGGGGACGCGGAGCTGCTGCAGCTATGCGCCCTAGCAGGCCCAGGTCCTGATCTCCTTCTCCAAGGTGGAGGCGGCTGCCGGGGATTCGAAGGTGCCGGGGCCAACCTAACACAGTCACCAGCCTCCTCCCCTAGCAGCGATTGCACGGTGGACTTCCGCCCGCCCTCACCCATCAACCTGCGGCGCAGCATCGAGGAAGCCCTCTGCAGCGAGGCGCTGCTGGCTCCTGGTCTCTTTCAGGGCCCTGCCTTTGGGGAAGCCCTGCCTGGGCTCGATCTCTACCGCACCATCTCACTGGGGAACAAGAAAGGGGCAGGACCCAGTGAGAAGGCCGAGAAGGTCCCTGGATCCCCAGCACCTCCTGAGCTCCCTTCTCCCGGGGCCTGGCCTGCCGGCAGCAGCGCCTCATCTGGCTCTCTGTGTGGACTCTCACGGGACAGCTCGTCCATGCTTCTGTGTTCCAGCCCCGACAAGCCCCCGCGCTGTCCGTTAGTCTGCGTCCTCAGTCCCCCGCGGCCCTCAGGAAGCAGCCCCAGCCTCCCAGCCTCAGGATCCTACCAGGCCCTATCCCCACCCTCCCGCGACTCCCCGGAACACGCTTCTGAACTGCAGGCTGAGGAGGCATTGCTGCAAGAGCAATTCCTGGATGCCTGCCGACAGATTGATGAGCTGAGCATGGGCAGCGACACCATAGACCTGTGAAGAGGCGGCTATCTCACAGCCAAGCCGTTTGCCCCCCATCCCTTTTCTGGCATCTGATCTGCTCAAGACCTCCTCACTGTAATAATTCCCCAATTCCGCCTGGTTCAGATACCTCTCTCTGATTCTTCCCCATCCAGGGGCCCCTGGGTGGGTGAGTCAGCAACCAGGCTCTATGGATTGGGAGTCAGTTCCAACTTCTCTGGAGCCGTGGGATGCTGATGCCTCCAGCTGCAATTTTAGGCTGGCAGGGTCCTACTTTCCTTGGCCGTCACCAGCAATAAAGCTCCAAGGTGCTCCACTCCTGACCACCATGCCCCCTACCTTGGTGCTGAGTGAGACAGCTGTCCTCAAAGACCTAGTGCCCTGTCTGGGCTCCGTACCCACCTCTGCCAGCTCCTTCACGGAACCGTTCCCTAACGATGGATCTGTGGCCCAAGAGACCTTACAGCAATCGGGTTGGGAAACGAGCGTTTTCAGAGTCAATGTATCAATAAAATATTTTCAGAGGAGAATGTTCTGAACTTCTTGGAAACGCTTACAGGGGGCTACACCAGAAGTGGAAATGGTCTGCCTCAGACTCCCAGGGACCATCACACGAAAACAAGAACCATTCTGGTGCGTGAGTCCTGAGACAAGCCCCCTGGAAGCTGCCCATCTGACTGCCTGGCAAATGTCTTTTTCTAGAGGGGACAGGGTCCTGAGAGGTGGGGGACAAAGACTCTTTAGCATTTGTCTTTGTTCCTAGGAGCCCCGCATCAGGTCTTGGGAGATAGCTTCCCAGGAGCTAGTTAATAAAAAAGATCTTCATGGAAATGTGGGCACACCTGTTAAAGGGCCTGATTACTTCAGTTGGGCCATCCAACAACTTGTCTGCCAAATCCCCATAAGACTTTACAAAGAGGAGGCTGCCTCTTCTCATCAACAGGGAGTCTTTGAGGCTGGTCTTACAAGGATCTCATCCCCCTTTCCCACAGAGCTCTCATCTCTGATCCTCAGTAGGCAAAAATCTGTCTTCACTGCCCACCTCTTGCCCCAGCCCCAGCTTAGTTCTCAAAGAGAAATCACACTGCAGGGACCCATTAGCACATCCAGCCACCAGCTACAGAGCATCCGTCCCTTTCCTGAAGCATTTAGCCTCCAGTTACATCTACTCTGCATTTGTCATCTGGCTAAAATGTAATGGTTTACAGTGACAGGGTCTTGGATCAGGTTTGAAAATAAAAAGCTGGCCGTGTTTGGCAGGTGTTCTGCATATCACAGAGAGACCTGGAAAGGCATGCACATTAGGCTCAAAGTGGAAAAAAAAGCTTAGTGATCACACACACACACACACCCCGTCACACATGCACCAAACTTGGATCACTGGCTAACGGGGTTTGGAGAAAGGAGACAAGAGGGGTGCAGGAAGGCAGGTGAGGAGGGGCTGAGGCCCTTCTTCCCGGAGAATGAAGCTCTGTCTTGATTGAGGACAGCATCCAGGGCCTCAAGACCTCAGAGAGGAGGGAACATCTAAGGGAAGGGAAGGGTCCTGGTGGAGAAGAGAAATGAGGCAGCGGTGCAGATGAGGCTGGGGGATGGACCTGGAGTGGTCCTGACCATGTCTCTTCCATCACCTGGCTCAGTGTGGCTCAGAAATTCTTGCTGCATCCTCACTCTGGGCTGAGGCCCAGAGAACTGCCAGCTTCCTAATTACAGGCATTTCTCACTAGTGTCATAGTGGCTGCAGCGGGCCCAGCATTGGCACTGCAATGCTTGCTGTTCTGGGAGAGTGTTCTCCTTCTTACCCTGTTTCCCCTCCCAGCTGTGTCTCCTCTGCTTCTGCTTGCACCCAGCTCCTCTGTCACCCCTTCCCATGCTCATCCTCTCCAGCTCCTC